GAAAGCAGTTCGTTCAGATGCAATTTTTTTTTACTGTATAACCTTCTAATTTTATACCATCATCATTTCACTGCTTTTTAAGATTCTTCATAAGAACAATGATTTATGAATCCATGAGGGACTATAGTTTCTATCCACTCCAAGTCACTTTCGGTATCCATCTTACATATGGTGGGAAAGTGAAACTGGGAGTTAACCTTACCTCTCCTTTTGAAGGGTTGAGGCAGACGTGGTTATCAGTCACGAAACGAAAGCTTGGAAAGTCGCCCCTGTGCAGTCGTCTCGCCAACGTTTATTGAGATGAGATAAAAAGGAAAATTTAGCAACTATCTTTCAATTAAGTTTCGGGGGCGGAAGTGGAAGACACCGAGCTCAAAACCAAGGTCACTTCAAAATTATTATTTTTTTAATTGACGGATGGCAGCAGTCGTCATTGAAGGAACTCGTTTCGTCTGCAAGCTTATATATTGTCAATGAAACGCAAAAAAAAAACATTCCAAGCCGAGAATCTTTGACACAGTGAAGAAAACGTCCAGTGCCCCGACGAGGAACGACCGGACGACTCTGTCACGCGTTACAAGTCACGAAAGTCACGAAACGAAAGTCGTGGGTCCGCCGCTTTCCGCCAGCAAAGCCGCCCCGAAAAACGTCTCCGATATCACAGCGATCGACGAGTACCCGCTGAGGCGCCTCGAAGGACTGCGCGCGCCTCGCTCGGTCGCCTCCACGATCACGTGGCGAGCGCATACCACAATAAAAAGATACGGATAAGGTCACAGGAAGGGACACGATGAAATTGGGATTCACTCGCTTTCAAGCACATGTATCATACATATATGCGGTGAGGTGCGTCTTTTTACACTTATTTTTTTTCAGATCTTTTCGTATAAGGACAAAAACATGCACCCGAAGGTAGGTACCAGGTATGACAGATGATATGCACCCGCCCGGTTCAGCAGCGCCCCAACACCATAGAAAAATATATATGTATAATTTGCTGCTTCACGAATTCGTTAGTTATATTCCCCAAAAGTGAAACCCTCGCTTCCCCTTCGTAGTGGGTGTGAAAGGCCAGGAAGGCCAGGAAACAGAGTGCAAGAATCGGGTCGGTAAGACGTGACATCCGAGATTCGACGGCTCGTCTCATTCGTCGACCGGCCGCTACTAAGCGTAAGCGGCTCTCTCCTTCTCCTCGACGCTCCGCCGGGCCCGCCGCTGCCTGCGGGCGTTGAGCTTCTCCTGCAGCTCGGCGTTGACCCGCTGCTGGATTTGCTCCTGCTCTCGCTTGAGGGCCTCTGCCTCCTCGCGGTGCTGCTTGGTCAGCTCGTCGATGCGGCCGAACAGTTCCTCCCGGGTCGGCACGGGGGCCAGTTCGCCGGGGGACATCACCTGCTTCCTCCATTCGTCGTCCGGCATCTGAACGGGAGACGCGGATGTCGGTTTCGAAAATTTCGGGGGGATCCAATCGTGCAAGAAGGGAACTCACGGCCGAATCCACGCGGACGACTTCCCCGGCGTTGAGTCGAGCCTCGAGTGCGGCCATCTCGGCGTCCATGCTGGCACCGAATGCGACCGAGTCCGCGTCGAGCGAGATGTCCACCGATCTGCCCCAGGTCTTCTCCATCTGTGGGTTTTCTTTCTCGTCATTTCGAATGCCCGCTTTAAATATCCGGCTCATACCGGTGATTTTCATCAACAGCCTTTTTTCTTCTCCCCTTCCTTCCCTTCCCTTCCTTCATTAATTTCTACCATGGACATTCACGATGTCCTTTAAGAAGACGATTGAAAATAATTTGGATGTACAGACCTTGTCCTTGATGAGGCGAACCCTCTCCCTCCTCAGCGCCAGGGTCTTGTCTTTCACCTTCTCGTTCACGTCGGCCAGGTCTTTCAAGATAGACGTCGTCAACACCTACGAGAGAGAGTCATATGTTTCTCGAACGAATCCACGAACCTGCCAAAAAAAAGTTTTTACCTGGTCGAACCACTGCAGAAGTGCGGCGGCTCTCTTGTGCGTCGTGACGTAGCACTTCTCGGCGTGCTCGTGTCGTTCCAGATTTTGCATGTCTGTGTAGACGTACATCGTCGCCTGGAACACAATGGAGTCGTTGAAAGGGCCAACTCGATTGAGTCGTTGGAATGGGTCAAAAATTCGCTTTCGGCTGCGGACTCACCCTTTGGAGCGTTTCCACTTCGTCCGGAGTGCAATAGGGAAACGTGATGTTGTCCAGATAGCGGTGGGCTCCCTGGATGTTCTGCGCTGCTGCCGTGAGGTTGTTCCTCGCTTCCGACGCCACCGCGTAGCGCTGCTCCAGGGCACTTCGCGAAAAAAAGACTCGTTTTAAATCTGGAAAGGCCTGGAGGGAGGTCGGGGATGAACGGACTCACTCCTCGGGGAGTTGGGGGATGCTCTGCCACTTCGTGACCGCGATGGCCAGCTGCTTGCAGGCGAATTCCATCAGCATCTGGGACTGCCTCCACTTGAAGTTCGCCTCCAGGATCTTCTCGCGCTCCAGTTCCAGGTCCTCCAGGTCGCCTTCCAGGACGTTCTCCTCCTCGCTGCCGTATTCCCCGTTGAAGATCCTCGCTGCCGAGGAGAAATCTCGGCGTCAACGTCATCGTCGGCGTTATCGTCGATGTCGTCGACCTCGCCGCGACTCACCCAAGATGTCGTCTTGCTTCTTGTACAGGCCCTGCAGCTTGTCGGCCCGGTCGTTGAGCTCCTTCACCTCCGCTTCCAGTTGGGCCACCTGCTGCTTTTTCGTCTCCAGTTCATTCTTTGCCATTTCCTGGAAAAGCGAGGCAAAAAAAAATCTTCAGGTCCGTTGGCTGTAGAATTACGCAGGATTGAGGCCGGGCACGTGATCCTCTTTCGAGGGCTCTTTCCTGCAAGTGCTTTCTTCGATAATAAGAACGAGATTTAAAAATAGAGACCAGATTACGCCTCTTGGTTGCTTTCACTCTCAAAGCCATCGACGAAACCCTGAAGTATTTGTTGCGAAATTCAAACGAGATCGTTTCTGCAACCCACCGATGCATATCACCGAGCACGTTATACTTTGGCATGACTCGATTGAAATGAAGCAGGGCAAATCCCAGATGAATGATTTCGACTCCTCTGGCCGACCCCACCCTCGAATGACCCTCGAGTGACCCTCGAGTGACCCTCACCTGCTTATTGATGTTGGCTATGTATTCCTGCATCTCCCGATCTCCCATGTCCTTCCCTTGAACCTCCATCAGGGCCTCTTTCGTCCTGCGAAGGGAAAAACCGCCCTCACCCTTTATACTCCACGTATTTTTCCGTACATCTCGAATATTCTAACACTGATATCACTCAATATTAATGCTGTCTCCTTGTCAGACTTGATTTTGTGAAACGAAACGACGAAAGGGAGGAGTCCGTCCATGGCGTAATCGATGGTGACGACTCGTTTCAACTGTGACGAGTCGTTTCAACGGTGACTTACTTCGCTCAAAAGGCTGAAGGAGACCATGACGGCCTTGAATTCGTCCTCGATGCTCGTCTCAGAAGAAATCGGACTCGCA